TTGAAAGGAATTTCAGTGGGGTGTGAAACATAGAAACTGTATCAAAGGGACTGATGGGTAGAAAAGGAAGTTAGGAAAGGAAGGTAGCCTGAGTCAACCTCTCAGGTTAACAGCAACAGTAATAATCATAACTGAAGCAGTAGCTAAGATTTTTGAGCACTTTTATGTCTCAGGCACTACGCCAAGGCTTTGTTTTTTATTCAGACTTTTAAAATTCAATCTTTGCTTAACTGTGGGTCGTAGATACTATTGTTATCCCCATTTGGGGATTAGCAAATGGAGGATTCAGGAGGTTGAGGAATTAGCCCAAGGTCCCATAGTTAGCAAGCTTGACAATTTGAACCCTTCATTTTTAGCACCATTATATTAAACATCAAAATATATCTCGAATCCTATAAAAGAATGTTGAAGATTTCAGTATTCTGCTGCAGAATTTATAGAATAAATATTTTTTTTATATATGAAGTGGGGAAAATACAATTATAAATAGATTTTCTCACATAAAGTGAAATACAGAAAAGGTAAACCAAAAACTAATTTTTAAAAGTTACTTAGAGAGGAAGTTTTGGCAGCAAAACTTAGTGTAAATCTTATTACGGTTTTAATTTTGGCATTATGTGAAGCATCCAGTTCAAAGCCAGCCTTGGCAATTTAGTCAGATCCCATCTCAAAATAAAAAATAAAAAGCACTGGGATGTAGCTCAATGGTTGAGTGCCCCTGGGCTCAATCCCCAGCACCAAAAACAAAACAAAATAAAAAAACAGTATGAAATAGTTTTCACTGGCCAAAGATAGGAAAATCTGAGTGTCAAAAGTAATATCTACAGTTGATTGAAACAAATTGAATATACAAAATTCAGGTGTTCATTATGATATTTAAAAGAATTGTGAAAGAGAAAAAAATGATGCTAAATAATAAAATAAACAGACATATAAATTTTTTTAATATTTTTGAGTTGTAGGTGGACACAATATCTTTATTTATTTTTATGTGGTGCTGAGGATTGAACCCAGTACATCACACATGCAAGGCAAGTACATCACCACTGAGCCTCAACCCCAGCCCAACAGACATATAAATCTTAATAGTCATCTAATGTGCCAGTTCCATACTCTGAAAGTTGGTACTTAGAAAGAATTTAGCATTCCTCCTTCCTAACCCATTCAGATTGTATTTCACAATAACTAAACATCCCTAGTTGACAAGAGAAAAATTTCCCTACAGAAGAATTCCATGTTGTAATTGGGCCTGAAACCAAATCATAATAATCATAATTTGTAATCCCTAGTGAAATCATTGATTCACATAATGGCCATCAATGAACACTAAAACTGTTAGCACTTTGGTTCTCAAAGTGTGGCCCATGTATCAGCATCTTAAGCATTGCCTGCATACTTCTAAAAAAATAAGAAGTTCTAGGACCCTCTCCAACACATTAGAACCTCTATGGATAGGTCCCAGTAGTCTGTGGTTAACAATCCCTCTAAAGGTTAGATATAGTTTGAGAACCATCATATTAGGAGAAAGATTGATAGTCATCTTTAATTGAAGGATCAAGCTCTCACTCTCAGAACTCACTAATCAATCTCAACACTCAAAATCAGGAGAACCTAATAATACATTCTCTTAGTAGATGCACTTATGACATATTCTTGCTACCTTCCAGCAAAAATTGAACCTAAATCTATTCAATCCTTTATAATTGAGTTCCAATTTATAGTAAATATAGGGAGTATGAAGAATAAGTAAAACAATCTAGTGAGGAAACAAAGGACAAATCCAGAATGTAGAACAACCAACCGGTGTTTTCAAGTCAGTGTCATGGAGAAAAGGGGAAGCAGAGAGTAGGGAAATTAATTCARAATAATTGGGCTCCAAAGACAAGATGAGTAAATACAGAATGTACATTCTGTTTGGATTCTGATTCAAATAAGCCAACTGGAGAGATGTAAATTCAAACTGGTACTAGATGATATTAAGGAATTTTAATTTTGTGAGGTGTAAAGATATTTTGGCTATGTAGAAAAATGTCTCTCTTTTTTCTTTTAGGAGATACAAAGTATTTAGGGTGAAACAAAATGATGTTGAGATTTGCTTTATGTTACTACAGGAAAAAAAAGAAATGAATCAAGTGGCAAAATATTGAGAACTTTGGAATCTGGGGAATGTGTTACACTATTTTCTCTACTTTTACGTATGTTTGAAACTTTCATAATAAAAAGTTAGAAATTTTAGAAAAATGGCTGAAAATAGTAAACTTATTAGGATATATTTATCCTTTGCTATCCTTTATCACATTGTATTACCTGTTTGCTTGTCTAATACTACTCTTTCTTTTTTATGATACTGGAAATTGAACACAGGGACACTCAACCACCGACTCACATCCCTAGCCACCACCCCCCCCCCCTTTTTTTTTTTTTTTTTGGAGACAGGGTCTCACTCAGTTCAGTTGCTTAGGGCCTTTGCTAACTTGCTGAGGCTGGCTTTGAACTTGCAATCCTCCTGCCTCAGCCTCCTGAGGGCCCTGCCTATACTAGTATTTCTAAGACTATTAGTATTGATTAAATTATTGTTCAATCTATTACAGACCATGATTTTTATGAGATACAATAAAAATCAATTACAGGGAGGGCTGGGGATGTGGCTCAATGATAAAATGCTTGCCTGCCATGCATAAGGCCCTGGGTTTGAGCCCAAGCACTATCAAAAAAAAAAAAAAAAGTCAATTACCAGAAAAGCAAAACAGGGGCTGGGGTTGTAGCTCAGTGGTAGAGTGCTTATTATCTAGCATGTGTGAGGCACTTGGTTTGATCCTCAGCACCATATAAAAATAAATAAATAAAATAAAGGTATTGTGTCCATCTACAACTAAAAAAATATTTTAAAATAAAAGCAAAACAGGACAGGGGGATATATGAAATATAACCCAAAATGTTTTTACTAAGGTCAATAAATATAAAGTTACATTTCACTTAATCAGAACAAATGTAAACATGGGAAAAAAGAATTGATTTCAAAACTATCCATTCATAAAAAATAAATACATAAGTAATCACTATAGAGAATGGATATTACAGTTATGAGTTTTTTCTATAATAAATGAAGTTTTTAATGTGAAACATGAGTGTGCTTTATGCACAGTAACTTGAGAACTTTAGGCATTCACTTGAGTTGAATTGGTAACAGCATTCCTCAAGTGAATGGTGTATTCTAAAACAATTGTGTTTGTGGCCACAGGTTTCTGCTTGTTACTTCTATTACTGATTTCTCAACAGATAGAGTATTCATGGATGCCTAGATTACAGAAATAACAAAGAATGGGGAAAATAATAAATATACTTGAGTACTTGCTGAGATTTTCACTTAAAGAATGAAAGTACCACCTCTTGAAATAGGTTGTCTTTTAATCTCCTTATTTGGATGTTGCTATCTTTCTTACACTGCCGTATGTTTATTGATTGATATTTGATGACCTTTTTTGTTTCCCTGGTCATTTAAAGTACACTGTGCCTTTGTTTGTTAGACAGTGATTCCAAGCTTCATAGTGTCTTTTCTCTCTTTCCTGTGGTAATGCCAGTTTGGATTGATAGTGTCAAAAAAAAAAAAACAGTAATTATAGATTTCATTATGCTTCCTGTGATTCATTTCTTTGTTGGTAGTTTGGGATCTTTTTTCAGATATATTAACTTGTACCTGTTTACATTGAATCTGTAGGTTTCTCTGTGTTGCTGAAGTCTCAAAAATCTTTCCCACTAATACATATTAACTCAACATTTTCAGTCAAAAGAAACTAATTAAAAGATTCCCTCACAGAAAGCACATTGCAGTTGTTTGTACAAGGGGCAAACCTTTTCTTATGGTTCTCCTAGCTTATCCAGTGTGGAAGTGAGATGTTGGCTTGCTCTCACACATAGAAGGCACATTGTCCACTGGACAATTATTAAATGTCATCTCCATGATAACAGTATGAAAGGTTTTTTGGTTTTTTTTTTTTTTTAGAGAGAGAGAGAGAATTTTAATATTTATTTTTTAGTTTTCGGCGGACACAACATCTTTGTATGTGGTGCTGAGGATCGAACCCTATTCTATATCAAGAAATTAATATACTGATTAGTCAAACCTTTTATAATCCAATCATTTCATCTTGATAACTTTCTTTCCTTGTCTCAACGTTAGTTTTTTGGAGAATACCTCATATCGAACTTTAACACTCCCCCTCAAGATAATTTCAGGGGGCTTTTAGATCTTCAGATAAAAGTTCAATAAATTGTAATGTTTAGTTCTATCAGAAATTATGTACATAGTATATATAGAATTAATTTTAAGGTAAACTGCTTTTAAGAAGATTGTAACATTGCACAAAAAGATAGCTAACTTGTCTTATAAAACATATTTTTCTTATACTCGTGCCTTCCAGTCATTTGTCATGGCTATCAGAACAGTGTTCAGTTTGGAAAACAAGTATGCATGTTCTTGAGTAGGTCAGAATTATCCCTATGGATTGAAAGTTTGGGAATTATTTAAGTTGCTTGAAAATTCCACCATATTTCATGGTAGAGGAGATTTATATAATAATTGTATGAAAATAGTATTTAAGGAAAGATGTCCCTTGTCTGATGAGATGCCAGAGAATTCATTCATGTTCTCTGTCTTACATAATCTTTATTTTTTAAATGTGGTTAAGAAAAATAGCCAATATATTTTTCAACAAAAAGGAAATGCCTAGCCATAAAAATAATTTTGAATTGTTCTGTGATTATTGTGATACTTGCTGTTATCTGATTTTGGACTCTTACCATTTATCTGGACTCCATTTAAATATGATTAGAATTAACTTCTCCACAGGCAAGAATCTTGAAAAACAGCATGTTATTTGAACACTCATTATTCACTAAAAATAAACTTTTGAGGGGAGAGAGGCAAAAAAAATATTTCTGAATGCTAATGCTTGGGCTATTTTATTTGATCAAATAATTCTAAATTCTTTCTTTTACAGACTATCTTGCTAATCATGGCCGGTTAAATGAGTCTGAAGCCAGGCGAAAATTCTGGCAAATTCTGTCTGCTGTTGATTATTGTCATGGTCGGAAGATTGTACACCGTGACCTCAAGGCTGAAAATCTCCTGCTGGATAACAACATGAATATCAAAATAGCAGGTAACTGGGACCCAGCTGGCTATGAAATGATCAGATGTGAGCCATCATGCATGGTGCGCTGAAACAGCCCTGCAGGCGCAGCTTCAGGAGCATTTCTACCTGATGGCATCAAGCTTTCTCAAAGGGTACTTTATTCATTACCTTAGCCCTGTATGTAATTACAAGCAAAGGAAATAAGTTTATTATTAATATACATATTGGCTGGGCTATACCTGGGGGTCTCATCTTCATTGAGGTGCCTTGCGGGGCTCTGTTGGAGGAGGACATTTGTCTTAAGTGTAACAGTGATTGGAGGGATGGATAGGACCAGAGAAGAGTGCAAGTGGCTGGTGCTCTCTATTCTGCTTTCCTCATTATATCTGATGACTACAATGAGGTTATAGACAGAAAAGATAACAGAAGTGATGGAAGTAGAATAAGAACTATTTAAAATACAAAAGCCCTTGCCTTATTCTGATCAAACAAGAGTTTTGATTAATAACAAGGAGACTAATGATAGATTATTTTGCTTATTTTTCTTTGTGCTTTTTACAGTTGTAAAAGTTTTTATATTTTGTATTCTAAGTTTCTTTATTCACATAATCAAACTGTAATTTACTCAGTAAATATTTTATGTATCAGTTACTGTACTATGCTAAATATAATATGATATGTGGAAATCATCTCAGTCAATACATGTATCAAAACATCACATTGTACATCTTGAGTATWTATAATTTTTATTTCTTAATTATACCTTAATAAAACTGAAAAAAAAAATTCAGTGCTATATTGCCACCAAAAAGGTATGTACAAATGAAGAAGGAGTTGAGATAGGAGGATTGAAAGTTTGAGGCCAGTCTCTGCAACTTAATGAGACCCTATATCAAAATAAAAAGGACTGGGGTTGTAACTCTACCACTGGATGGTAAAGCTCATAGTACAAAAAAAAAAAAAAAAAAAACCAGTATATACAGAAATGGGGATATAGCTCATTGGTAGAGTACTTAAGTAGCATGAGGCTCTGAATTCAATCCTCCAGCATCACACACACACAAAGTATGTCAGGGGAATATGTACAAACTACAGTGAGAACATCAGTCTACTTAGGAGTCAAGGGAAGCTTCACAAAGGAGGAAATATTTGAACGTAGCTTGAAAGATGAGTTAAAAGCTTGCCAGAAATTTAAACAGAAGCAGGATGTTGCAGGCAGGTAGATGGAGATTGGAACAGTGGGAACTTTAGCCCAGTACTGTTTAAATGTAAAATCTAGGGCTCGGGAGAGTGATAGAGGAAGAGGAGCTAGGTATAGACCAGAATATAAGAGTCTTGAATACCATGTAAAAAATTTTTAGTATTTATTATGTAAGTCATAGGAATCTAGCCTATTGAAAATTCGCAAGCACAGATGTGAGTAAAGTAGTTTTGGGATATCACAATTAGCTTTGCACATTAGCAGTTCTGTTCGTGGCAGCAGAGTTAGGTGGATAGAAGCTTTGGGTAGGACTGCAAACAGAAGATTTATGAAAAATCCAGTGCATTAGTCCAACAAAGAGCATGCACATCTGAATAAAGCAGCAACAGTAGAAGCTGAAGGCATAGGAGAAAGGGAGGATTATTTTAGCTAGGATTGAAGAAAATAGGGGCATGGTTTAAATGCTTAGCATAGTTACAAATGATGATGTTTTGTTCTAAATGGTTATAGAGGAGTAAGGAGATCAGGTGAGAGGAGCTGACCAAGCAATTATTAATTCACTAGCAAGGTTGGATACTCAACTGGACTTAGTAAGTGTTAAGGACAAGACAACTACTCTGGATTGCTGCATTGTGGTATCAAAGATAAGCTCAACGCCTTTAATTTGTACATCAAACTGACTTATTTCTGTACCCTTTTCCAATAGTTTCTATGTTGGACAATTTGGAGAATATAATTATCCCTCATTTTGTTTTAAATGCCAGTGTTATATATGTTACAGGATATGTAATGGGTTTTCCATTCTGTATTCTGTTTTTTTTTTCTTTTCCCTAATAGGGTATTTTTGTTGATTTGTCATTTAAATACATACATATATATATATACACACACACACACACACACACACACACACACATACAAAGATTTGTGTTGAATTGACATTTTTTTGTTGTGAAAATACAATACACAGTAATAGATTGCTTCTATCATTTTGGTTTCTTTTTTTGAGGGAAGGTTAATGAAGTTGAACTCAGGAGTGCTTTACCACTAATCTACATACCTAGCCCCCCCCCCTTTTTTTATTCTTCTGTAACAGAAGAATAAAGTCACTTAGTGCCTCACTAAATTGCCGAGGCTGGCCTGAAACTTATGAACTTCCTGCTTCAGCTTCCCAATTTGCTGGGATTACTTGCATGTGCCACCATGCCTGGCTCTATAGTTTTTTAATGTCTACAATTATTTCTTCTGTTTGTTTTTCCCCCATCATATTTTGGCCTTTCCATTTGGTCTTATTTATTTCATTCATTTTTCCAATCTTCAGTAGTATATTTCACTGGAATTTTTTGTTTACATCTTTAAAGCATGGATTGCCCTAAAATTGTATTTTTTWAAAAAAGTCCTAGCTCTATAAGAAGGAAGAAAGAATCCTTACTTTGCCTTAGTATTTCCTTATTATCAAAACAATAGCTCTGAGGAGTTCTAGGAGTCTTGTTAAACAGGGAAAGGTTAAATGTGAAAGTCATATGCCATAGGAATTACAAAGTGTTCTGTCACTAACATCTCAAAAGAAAATATCAAAGTAGGACTAGAGAAACCTGTAAACACAAAATACAGAAAATTGATTTAAGATTGTAACCAAGTTCTGCCTATTACTATAATCCTACCTGAAACATAAGTGGATCAACATAGTGTGTCTGATGTTATTATCTGATGTTTAGGGTTTTGTTTTGTTGGTTTTTACTGCTTTTATTTTTGTTCTTTAATATCTACACTCTGATTATATAGAAGACAAATAAAATGTCAGGTACCCAAAGTTGTTCCCTTTGGTTAAGATAGTGTGACAGGGCTGGGAATGTAGCTCAGTGATAGTGGTAAGCACTTTGCTTGCCTAGCATGCATGAAGCAAAATAAATAAATAAATATGTTTCAACTATCATAAAATGCTAGTTGAAGCATAATTTTCAGGTACTTTGCTAAATACTTGTAGCTGTTGCCAGTTTTTAGGAGAGAAAGCTGAAATGAAAATAAATTTTAACTTCCTAAGTTGACACAGATAATAAGCAGCAGGCTTACAAATCAAAACTAGGTCTCTGTGGCCACAATATTATAGTTTCCTAGCATGTGTCAGTTCTTCCTCAAGTAATACAAACTGAATTTTGGGTTTATCATTCTGTATCTATATGTTGGCTTCTATTCCTCACAAGTGGAAAGATGAACACAGTATGTCTAAACACTCAAATATATCCTTTGTTTGTTTGTTTGTTTTAATATTTTTTAGTTGTCAATGGACCTTTATTTTATTTATATATAAGCAGTGCTGAGGAATGAACCCAGGGCCTCACACATGCTAGGCAAGCACTGTACCACTGAGCCACAACCCCAGGCCCTACAAATATATTCCTGCTTGCACTTTTTTCTCTGTTATCCTCACTACCCTTAACCCCAAATTTTAGTAATGTTTATTAAGCTTCAACTATGCTGTGGGCTAAATCCTGGAGATGCATACATGTTATGACAGAAACAATAGCAACAACAACAAAAAACTTTTAACCCCTCTCTTACTCCAAGTTAATTTAAAGCACCAGACTTCTAAGTAAATATAATACAAAAGGATCACTGTTTTTAAGGCCATGAGACTAGGAGAAAGAGGAGTGGATGAGTCAAGGAAATTATAAGCTAAGATTTGATTAGCAAGAAGGTATTTGTGGTGGGTGGGGGTAGGGCAGATGGAGATGGAGAAGGAGAGGTGTAGGAGTCAGCATCAAGGTGGCTGTTAAAGCATCTGGATCAGCTTGTGCAAAGACAGGCCAGCAAAAACTCCAGAGTGTTTAGGGAAACTACAGACAGACGTGAGCTAGTGGAATGTAAGAAGTGTCAGTAACAATGACAGGGAAAGAGCCTGGACAGGAGGCAGGACCAGACCAGAAGGACTGCACACCTCAGTCATTAAAAGTGTAGTGTGGTTGGGTGTTTTAAAGAATTTCCCTATGATATTTATTTTTATCCATAGATATTAAGACAATTTGTTGATCCTCCTTACTTTTAAGAACATTATCTTCTCATCTTTGAGAATTCTTGACCTTTAAAGAAATCTTTTTTTTTTTTTTAAGTGGAAATTAGACAATTTTTTTCAATGCTGGGGATTGAACCCCGGGCTTTGCACATGTTAGGCAAATACTCTACCACTAAGCTACATCTTCAGCCCCCAGTCCTTTTTATTTTTTAATTCTGAGACAAGGTCTCACTAAATTGCTGAGACTGGTCTTGAACTTACAATCCTCCTACCTCAGCCTTCCCAGTTGCTGGGATTACTGACATGTTCTATCCCATGTGGCTTTGGCTTTTAGAGAAATCTAACAGGAAAGGTAGAATAGTGCCTGGTACATGGAAAGAAATTGCAGGAACCTAAAGTAAAATACAACATTAGCCGCCTAGTACGTTGAAATTAAAAAGAAGCACAAACCAGAACCCGTTTTAAATTAAAATATGTATCTGTGTTTATAAGGCAGAAAATGGAATAGAAGTACCAGGGATGGTTAACTTTAATACATAAAAACATGACTTTGAGATCAGCTTCTAGTTTATGCTCCCTACAGTGAGTAAGGACTTCAGAACTAAAGATCCATAGATTCACTCACACCTGTGTGTGCTCATTTCCTTATGAAGCCCTAGTAAAACATGAGCATTAAGATATTCAGAGTCAGAGGCTGAATGCAAAGCTATATTGACTTTCAGTGGTTTTAGTAATTACAGTGTTTCCTCTTGGCTGTTCTAGCTTATGGCTATTAAGGTTTTAAAGAACATGCAGTTTTATTCTCAAACTTTC